TGAACGCATAATGGGTGGTTGTGTCTATCTTTCAGTGTGTCTATCTCATCTCCTCAACCTGCTGTTCGGGTTTCAGTGATATTCTGAATTGCGATTCTACACTCAAAGCTGCTCGGAGAATTTAGTTTTGGTTGGTATCATTTGTCGGTTCCTTGAAAGCGATTAATCTTTCAAAATATTGGCTTTTCTCTCAGACATGTCGTTTACGAGGTGAGAGAAAGGGAAATGCGCAACGAACTACCACAGGATTCCAATCCGCGTCACTTTTCTGGGGTTTCACACTGTTATGCCCATTCACTGGCAAACAGTTTGCAGCAGGCCTGGGCTGCCACGATCTCTTGACAGATCGGAGAAAGGGTAAGTACAGGCATTCTGTTGCAGTTCTGTCCCAAGCTACACTCGCTTCCGAGAGCCCACAAGTGGACGTAGAGAGAGAGCAACGCCCCCAGCCTCAATCGGCATTGCTTCATGGTCCACCTACAGATCTGCATTCGATTTATCACCATTGTCACCATCATCTGAAAGGCTTAAAACGAGCAGCCTCCTCCGTTCCTATGCAAGTCTCCTCTGACCAGTCCATACTTTTCGTTTTCCGTTTCTTTTCCGCGGGGCCTTACTTTTAAAAAAATGTTCTATTCTACCTGTTTCTGAAGCCTGAATATTCTGTATGTAATTTTATTAATATTCAGTCTTCATTCTTCAATCCTTCTCTATTGGTCCCTGAGTATATTTTTATTTGGTGGATTGGAAAACAGCTCATGTGTGCCACTTTATGAAAACATATTTCATATTCTACTAACAAAGCATCAGGTAAGGTACAGTAGGATAAGGCAAAAATTTCCTGTGCTTAATTAATTAAACACCGCGCCATGAAGACGTTGAGGGGGAATGGAGGTATAGCTCTATCATTCTTGATGTCGGCATTAGATGGAGGTGAGTGGTCAGTTTCACGCCCCGGCCGCTTTACCTCCGGGGAAACAGGCCCCGGTACCCTTTGGACAGGAGGCTGGGTGGGTCCCAGACCCGGTCCGTACGATATGGTGAAGAGATAAATCTTAACCCCTGCCGGGAAAAGAACCCCAGCCGCAAAGCCAGCATTACGTTGCTATGCCGACCGAATTACCCCGGCTCTCACTAGTAAAATATAATTTTATAAAACTACTTAATTTTCCGATAAACATATCAACGTTTGATATCGGAACAATTTTAAAGGTACCAAATAACACGTACACCGAAATTTTGGCAATGAAATGAAAACACACGATGACACGAAGTGTAGAAGGCCGTAATGTTTATGCATATGAGCGAGGTGAACTATTTGCAGTTATCGAAAGCAGGCTTATTAATTCTAAAAACACCTAGGAAGGTGAGTCGTTTGCGTTTATTGTCTGTTTTACCAGCAAATTGGACTTAAATTTGAGAAAGAAACTAGTGAAATGCTACATTTGGAGCATCGCTTTGTATGGGGCTGAAACTTCGACACTTAGGGCAGTAGATCAGAAACACCTGGAAAGCTTCGAAATGTTGTATTGGAGAAGGATGGAGAAGATCAGTTGGACCGGTTATGTGAGAAATGAAGAAGTGTTATTTAGAGTCAGTGAGCAGAGGAATATCCTACACGAAATAAGAAAACGGAAGGCTAATTGGATTGGTCATATCTTACTCAGTAACTGCCTTCTAAAAAAGTTATTGAAGTAAAGATAGAGGGGCAGATAGAAGTGACCAGAAGACGAGGAAGAAGATGTAAAAAGATGCTGGATGACCTTGGGGACAGAAGAGGATATTCTCATTTGAAGGAGAAAGCTCTAGATGGCATTAAGTAGAGGAACTGTTTTGGAAGAGACTGTGGATCTGTCGTCTGACAGATTACTGATGAATGGAATGAATGAATACGTATAATATTGTCACGTATGAGGTGGTTTACATGACGAATAATAATGGGTTCTGGATTTATTGGCACTTCTTTACAATTACAATCAGTTATGACAGCTCACAACCAATGAATTGCTTAAGACTGGTTAACACTTCACAGCTGAACACTCAGCTACCCTTACCCAATGAATTCTCGTTTAAAACTCGGGGCGATCCTGAACAGTTACTCTGTTATTATGTGTTTTGTCCGTTGCTATGAAATATGTCTTACGACTTGCTACCCAGTAACGAAGGTCCTTCCACTGTTGACAGCGTAACCTCGGAAATGTTTACCGAACCGTTGTCTAGCAATGGTCATATTCGTCACAGTATGCTGATTTCATGTTATAAGCATGTTGGAGATACGAGTCACCACGTTGGGAAAACGTGTTAGTGGAGGCAAAATTGGGAACACATTTCTGTGCCTCTTTAAGTAAACATCGGCAAAATGGAATTCTTGAGACAGATCTATTAGTGTGGCTATAATTAACGGAGAGACAAACTTGCTGAAAGCAACAACAACTTCCAAGCACGAATATCTTGTTCCACAGTCAAAGACTGCGTGAAACACAACCGGAAGAACAGAGCAGAAGTTTTGATTGGTAGGAAATAAGTTTTACCTGAAGAAGTAGAGGAGGTGCTAGTATGGCAATCACATCTGAAGGAACAGAAATATTATAAATTAGGGGCGAATAAAGTCAAGCGTGTGTCATACAGCTTAGGTATAAGGAAAACAACACGTTATCCGTTATCAGCAGAGAAACAGACAGCGGGCTCAGAAAACTGAAATGAATGAAACTGGTTTCCAGGAAACACTGTAATAATTCCGCAAACCGCAACCTGTGTCTGCTGCAAAAAAAAATCGTGGGTTCACTCGACATAATCGTGACCCTTCCTCCTCCTCTTCCTCCTTTTCCTTCTTCATCTTCTTTCAATTTTGAAGCTAGAGTTGTTCACATAAAATTCGCTCAGTCGTATTTTTTAATGAAGATGAACGGGTATTACGTAGTGGAACAGAAACCAAAGGAAAAAGACGAGTTGCAAGTGGGTGCTTAGCTGAGCGGGGAGTTCTGTTCTGCGCATGAGTGCGCCCGTCCAGTTTGCGTTCCCATTCACGGCTTTCCCCAGAGGTGCACCTCCTGGCACGATTGTTGCTAGACACATTTCTGCTCATTTACTCTGATGTTTATGCATTTTATTCTTATTGTCAAACCTACAACTGATCGTTCCGTAGTTTGAGTTCTGGACGGGCACTTCTCTCACAAGAGTACAGACATCATCCTTACTATCAAAGCATCCGTCAATAATGCAACAATTTAAAAGACATTAGGAACATGTTTCACACTAAAAATGTATTTCAATACTTTTTGATGTTGTTAAAATAATTATATATTAATAGGACATTAAAAGAATATTCTATATATTGTCGTGTGTTGCCTGTGCAGAGCGACAAATAACTTCACGTGGGACTCGGATTTAGCGAAAATTTATTGAACGCTCACTTTTACACACTCAAGTACAATTAGTATCACTTTTACTGCTCCTGCGGTTCTACTCACTCGAGCCAACTCATTCGGCGAATGCTAGACTTCGACTGTACTCAACGGTGGCTATCTTCCACCTCTGTCTCCTGCGGCGGCTATCTTCCAACTGTCCTGTGCGAAGTCGAAGTCACAGTGCGACTGGCGGGTGCATTGAACCCCCTTATATAGGCGTTTTTCGAATTGCTCAGTGAACACCGTCTCCAACAGTTCGGTTTCGCGTGCCCTACGCTCGTTACCGCGGAAGTGCATTATTCCTACTGGTTCAACAATCCGTTGCTTTGGAGGTGCAATATTTCCCGTTGTTACACAATGCTTCTAACAATCCGTTGTAACCGTCGAGACTCACTGTTGGAATTACGATATTGCGTTGCTTCCGTTGCCTAGGAAGTGACGGTTTGCATATGCACGTTACATTGCTCCCTTCTAAAGGTTGTTCGTCCCGAACATCCTAACGGAAGTTCCTCTTGTTTCATTTCCTAAAGTGTTCATCTTCCGAGCGCTACCTCTGCCCCTCTCCTTCAGGGGTGCTCGTGAATATTCATTTTTCTAAAATGTCTTTAGTCATATATTTCTTCTAGTTTACGACATGTTTCGGCCATATGGGCCATCATCAGGTAATTTCTTTTCGTTTGGGGATACCACTGCTCTGTGTACCTGTTCACTGTGCTTCCATGCACGTCAATATTTTGTTTCTATCTCATGATCGGAGTGCCGTCATTGCACTCTATTGCGGCTGCCGTATGTATCACTAGGGCGGTCTATGCAATATGTAGTAAACATAATGAGAGTACAGACGATATGACTTGCACGAGTCTCCATACATCCAACAAGAAAAGTACAGTCACTTACTAGGGCATTCATGGGCCCTTCAAAACTTACTTCGCCAAAGAAACTAAAATGTTGCTAAAGGCTAAATCGCTATCGCCGTGAGGGTGAGGGTCTACACTCACATCCGGAAGGTAATCAGTTTGAACCTCGGCCAGGACACCGACTACCGTAATTCAGGTCCTTCGTGGTTTTCCTCAGCCATTCCAGGCAAATTCCGGGATAGTTTCTCAATTAGGCAATGATCGATTCATTTAAAATTACTCCCCATTCATCAACCATCCTACCATTTGACATTCTGTAGTCTACATGCTGACGGTGCCGCACTCAAATTACAGCATTGATGGGAGCAGCTGTTACACGTTAGCTCCCAACAGAAGTTGCAGGGAGCTGCGGACGGCTAGAACAACTCCTTTACATAACACAAAATTCAGACCCTTCAAACTTCATTTTACTGAATAATGTTATTATTCCATTAGCAGAAAATAAGAGCTGCAGTGGATTAATTAAAGCAAACAAGAGAGTAAAAAAAACTATCCCTCTAGCAGGCTGTGGATGCAGATAGGGTTGTGAGATGCCGAGGCTCCAAATGTGGCTGAACCAAAATTATTGAACATATTATTCTGTGGGCCTCATAACCAATGTGTCGGGTCAGGGTTTGGACGACCTTTGTCTAAACCAAAAGAAAACAGTCTGACAGAATATGTTCCGCTTTATCAGGTTATGAAGCAGGGTTCAGACTCCCCAGAGGCAAGGCTACGTTTCTGGACCAGGAAGAAGGGAACAGAATCCGAAGAGAGATGACGGCTGAGGACAGAGCTCCTGGTTTCTACGGAGTTAATGTCTACAGGAGAATAGGCAATTCCGATGAGGGAAACAGATATTTCGGCAATGAAATTGACAGAGATTTGTATTACGAGAGCAGATCCAGAGATTATTATCCCAATTACAATCCTGGAGGAAGTTCCAGTAACAGGAGGGGTGAGTAATACAGAATTGTGCCAACTCCCGCTTGAGAATTGTTTGTTCCGACATCATTGCGTTAGATGAATAAACTAGCATGCCCAAATTTCTTCTTCTATAAAATCAATGTTGAATTAAAACATAAATTTAAATAATCTCTTGTGTAAAATATGGAATTAGAATTACTGGGAGACGAGAAGTCTCCCATTTACTTCCATACGAATACAGTAAATTGACTATTTTAAACCCCACAATTCGAGGCTTCTGTCAACACTTATTCATAATTAGTCTTCAAACGTTGTAATGCATTATGATTTAACGTACTTTAGTAAACACCATCAAATTACAAAAAACAATATTTATTTACCCACTATCTAGACATGTTTCGAGTATCAGAAGAGTCATCATCAGGGATGTTCTATTAGTTTATTCTACGTATATAATTAAAATAAGTATGTTACAATTTACAGATAAGATACACTGACAGCTTAAGTTGTGTGAGGTAAGGTAATTCATATACACCTTTCTTAGGCCTATAATGTGTAATTCGTATAAGAATTTTCAGTTCTTTTATATATTCTTATATAAATCATAAAAATTTGTATACAAATACTGATTATTTGTCTCTAGTTATATTGTGTGAGATTATGTTTTCTATTAATAGGGAGGCTTGTTCCCCCTAAAAATATAACTTTACACAATGCAGGTAAAATATCCCCCCCATTAACTTCTCTAAAAGTTCTTAAACTCTGTTTACTAACATGATTAATCTTTATTCTCCGTTATGAAAACACTAGATTCCGTTCATTTTGTTTACATTTTTAAGAGGAAGAAGACATCCTCTTTATGGAAAGACAAAGAGAAGAATCCTTAAGAATTTGATAGTCGCTCAGAGGGCTGAAAATTTCCCATCTTTTTCAGAACCGAAAAATTCCTTACCATGCTAACAAACGCCTAACAATGACCCTCACCTAGGTCTTCCAAGTGGTCTTTTCACTTCAGGCTTTCCGGCTAAACGTCTGCGCTCATGCCCCTATCTTGCCCCTTCACCTGACCAATGTGATACCACTTGGTGAAGGATACAAATTGTGAAGTGCCTCACTGTGTATTTTTTTTCATCTTCGTGTGTTATTTTCTGTTTCTGACATCCAAGTATCCTCCCCCAGCATCCTGTTCCCAAACAGCTTCAATGTATGTTCTTCTTTCGGAGTGGGGACAACCTAGATGTGTTTAGCTCAACAGGAACTGAGTTGCAGCAAATGTTCTCCGAATTTAAACTCTTCTGACATTGTAGACCTAGCAATTTCTTTCAGAGTATGACTGCAGCCAAAGAGGAAGGCCATACGACAACAGCGGATACTACGGTCGCGGAGGATATGACGACAGAGCACGTCAGGTGTATGTGTATAACAGAAATAGAGGTCGAGGATATGAAGATTGGAACAGAGGATACCAGCCAGGATACAGCAGAAGCAGAGGTGGCTTTGTGGGGGTAGACGACAATGACCCGCTGGGAGCAAAAGGATATTATGGCAGCAACGACAAAGAAGACAGTATTGGAGAAGGAACGGTTGGGTTCTACGGGAGAAGCAGAAGACCGTAGAAGTGTGTTTGCTCATGCCAGAGACAGATCACGAAAGTCATAATTGGGCTACTTTAACGTATTCTTAATCTTGATAAACAATCATTAATTTTATACCTCAAAATCCTTGTCTCTGTCGAGATTTCTGAACGAAAGAAAAGAGAGTGGATCTGCCAATTGTACTTGCAACATTACACCTTGAAAATATGAAATGAAATGTGTACAACCTGTGACTTAACTGTGTTTTTAATTATTCATCTCAGACGCAGAGACATTTGTTGGCGAAATCGGGACACACATCTCACTTCTGGCATTAACTGATGGTTCTTGGCTAAATCATGGGAGGTTCTCAGATACCAACAAAGCAATGCAATGCTTCATACTTCGAAGCCCATGGTTCAATTTTCCCGTAGGAAAATGGCTCTTTTGTCTGACTTCCTGGTTTTCTTAATTCCATTGGCAAAAACCCATGAAATAGATTCCTACTGTTTCTTTCTACATCCAGACCCACTCAGTATTCTTAACCGTCCCATACCTCTCTCGGTGCCTATACCCAGTGAAATAATTCTCTTTGTACTACTTCAGAGAGCAGGCACTTCGGCCTATTCAGTGTAATTCATAACTTCTATTTTCATGTTCTTTCTTGGCAAGATGAATACTGGATGAACGCATGGCTTCTACAATTATTTACTTCGGTAATTCCAAGCTCTGCAGTTTCCGGGCAGACATTTGGCACTTTCCTTTAAGGTCGACGCCTTCTGAGTGCATGTGAGGAACCACAGTTATCCCCACCTCAGTGCAGCTAAATAGGCCTTTTCTGGTTTGAAAACGGCTGTTGTCCTTCGTCGTCGGTTCAGTGGCTCAGAAGAATGATCTTACTGTTTCTGGAGTAAAGCCTCTTGCTCGAGAACACGTTAGACTTTCAGGTGTCCTTACCGATATTTGGGGATTCTGTTAAAGAAAAGGCTTTAACTGCTTTCTTCGAACTTTCTCATTGGCTTCGGGAAACGGGTACTATAAGCAATTTTTTGGCCCAACTGAAAAGCTGGACGTTCGGCATCATGCACTGACAGACCGAAGAAGCATTTTTTTTTTCATATTCAGACACAGGTTTCAACCCAGATTATTTTCACGCGCATGAGCAGAATCGCCTCTGAGTCGTCTAGTATTTTCTGGGAAATAATGAAGACGCAGGAGGCCTTCAACCTACCCAACATTCTTCCTTACTATTGAAACGACGGCCTTCATGCTGTTTTATCTCAGGCACCTGAAATAATGAAACGTTCCCAAAACCAGAAATCAGTCGGAAGTAGCAAAAAACGGCTCCCAGTTGTGTGAGCCCCGTACTGAGTGTCCATAAGTGATCCCTGTTAGGCGACTTCAGTTGCTCATTTTCCTGGGAAATGGAAACACTGTATCGAACCACATACCATATTTGAGGTTCTAGCGGGAGAAGAGTATCAAGATTGCAATCTTCTGGAAGTGATGCAGACTGCTTTTACCGGTTCTCACGGTCTCTTCGCTTGCAGATTTCTTATATTTTTTCTTCTACCCTGAAGATGGAGGCGATACGTTCCTCCGAAACGTCGGTTAACACCACATATACACGGTGCCAAATCCCTGAAGACTGCTTTCTTCATAGTTCGGTATAATTTCCCCGACGTTTCGGAGGAATGTACTGTCTATTTCAGAGCAGAAGAGTAAGCCAAGCGTGCCGCCTACTTCTTGCTGGTTTCTTCCTTGGTTTGCACCTCGACCATGAAGATGGAGGAAGTACCTTCCTCCGAAACGTCGGTAAACTACCAGACTACATATGCCAGAAGACAGTACTATTTACAGTCCTGATGCTAAAATCTCAGATCTAACATATCACTCACCTTTCCTCACAACTTGACAAAACTTGTCATTGAGTCACAAATATTTCGAAGCTGACGAAAACAGAAACCATAACAAATAAAATAAGCAGTTCACTCAATCAACGGTATCGGCGGAAAGGACAGCTGCATTCCACGTACCGCCAATCCAAGGAACGCTCTTTATGTTCACATTACTGCCACCTGGCAGCAGCACCTCTCTGATGAGAAACCGCGCTTCACCATAATCAACACGCAGCGACTATTTTTTTTTTTTAATTTACATAACTTCGTGCTATAATATTCCCCCGTGTCACGATGGTGAAAATTACATTTGAAATTTCTTGTTTGTTGCATGTCAAAACCGCATATTACTAGAACTAAACCAACCACATCCATGTGACCGCATGTCACATGGAAAAATCCGAAGGCATACTTGACTAATTCAAAGTAATTCGAACAATGGAATCGTTATCTGAGTTTGTGTTACTCATATACCTGTAATATCTACAAAGTTGTGTGGCGTATGAAAGGGTATACTTCAGGCACTTTATCATTTATGAAATTAAACTGTAGAGAAATGCCATAACAGGAAGCGATTTCATAATTTAATATTGATATCATCCCAGATCTCGACCAATCAGAGAGCCTAAACGAACCAACTTGAATACCCACAATTATATGCGGATACGGTGGTTAATTATATACAAATTGGTAAGTATGAATTTTGATTTGAAGTGGTTGCGAAGCGGAAGTAGACATTTGCGAACGAAGTTACATCTCCATAGTAAACATATTGTGACATGTTGACCCCTACCCCCCCCAGCAGTGACGCGGCGGGTGAGTCAGCGCTCCCCTCCCCCTCCTCCGCAGGGTAACGTAGCGGTGACGTCACCGAGGGATATCGCGGTTGCTAGGCAGCAGTCAACAACTCCGGACAGCGTGGCTAGCAACAAGGCACCAGACGACAATTGTCCGATCAAGGCTACATAAGGAGCAGCGAAGGCTATTCACAGTCAGTTAGTCCTGGAGCTACCTCCGAGTGAGTCCTCGAGCTACCTCCGGGTTAGTTCCGAGTTAGCCAGCAACCAATCAGTTGTATTGTGGCATTTGGAGTGTACTATTTGTGATACTGCAGATAGCAGTAATCGTAAATCTGTAATTTGGGTGATTGTAAGTGCGAATGTGAAATAAAATTCGCTATATAAAATACGGCGTGAATTTATTTGTCGCGATATACGCCCAATACGCGACAATATTATTTGTGTATATGAAAGTTATGCTTACCACCACAAATTAAATTAGAAACATATAGAATTCTTTCAAACCTAAAATTTTTGGCGTTATCATGAACTGTCCTCTAAACGATATTTGTTTTATGATATTGTCGCGTGTTGGTGTTATATCGCGACAAATAACTTCACGCCGTATTTGATATAGTGAATTTTATTTCATATTCGCTCTTACAATCACCCAAATTACAGATTTACGATTACTGCTATCTGCAGTATCACAAATAGTACACTCCAAATGCCACGTTACAACTGATTGGTTGCTGACTAACTCGGAACTAACTCGGAGGTAGCTCGAGGACTGACTCGTAGGTAGCTCCAGGACTCGCTGACTTCTTAGTTATCGCGCACTCGCAGGCTGCTGCCTTGAGAACTGTTGATCACACACTCGGCGACTGTCACAGTACAACTGACTCTGAATAGCCTTCGGTGCTCCTTATGTAGCCTTGATCGGACAATTGTCGTCTGGTGCCGTGTTGCTAGCCACACTGTCCGGAGTTGTTGACTGCTGCCTAGCAACCGCGATATCCCTCGGTGACGTCACCGCTGTTGATTCGCTTTGCATAGTTTCAAGGTCGCGGGGACTCGGCTAACGTCGGCTCCGCTCGGCTCACTTCGGCTCCGCTCGTGACGTCACCGCGCGTTGCGCGTTGCATAGCTACCAGGATGCGGGGTGATTACTCGCCTATTACGCGAGCGCTACGTTACCGCTACGTGCAGCTGGGGAGGTAGGGGTCAACATGTCACAATATGTTCTGCAACTTTCGGTTTATCCTAAAGATTGTCTGTAGTATGTGAAGGAGTTCTAAGGGTACCGTTATCATTTTTGTATTGCTTCTTGCATTATAAACACGAAAACAAAAACTTGTGCAGTTGCTGGGTGTTTTGTCACCCAGAAGGCGAGGCATCAGAGTCTTCAGCTTTCCAAGGAATCCAGCACGGTATGTCTATTTTAATTCATGGTGTAATTACTTAATATGTGTTGCTTAATCCAATGAATAAATAAGTTTAGTGTATGTCTGTGTTCAATTTATTCAACATAACCCCAAAATTTAGAATGTGTACCTCCTGAATCAGGTTTTGATTTATCGTCGTTCCTCTAATTTTCAAAATTATTATCCACAGAACCCAGTTCTCAAACAAACATAATTTTCATCATTTATTACAAAACTGTATATCAATATACAGGTTACATGGAATATGTCACAATACTGATATTTTAGGGTAATTAAAATTATCTGAAAAGCAGAACACACTATCTGTAATATGATTTATGAGAGAAAGAGGTGACAAAGTCTTTGCTATGAGGAATAAAGTAATCAAATTCACAAATTCTTTTTTATGGCAGTGCTTAGCAAAGTGTGTCATTTTCCACCCTGAAGAACTATCATAGTCCATTATGTAAGGAAGCTCACTAATTTCCTCTTTAATGTTCTTTCAGGAGGGTGCTGCAGTGAATACCTGGTGACAGCTGTGTTTGTTGAAGAGGTTGACAACCTCTTTGATAGTTTGAATGGTGGAACATGTGCTAACCCTTGGAAAACACTGCTTTGCCCGCTCAACAATAACAGTCCCCATATAGAGCACTGGGAAAGGGCAAGTATGGGGATAAAGAGCTGGATCTTCCTCAAGGATGGTAAACCTGCCTTTCTTCAACCCCCTTCTTCACAGAATGGGTGGCTAATTGACATCACTGCTGCCCAGCATCTGTGGAGGGCACTGAAAGAGGCAGGTTCTAAGTACCTTCACACCTGAAACCTGAATCAGGATCCCCTTGAGAACACATTTGGGGCTATTTGTTTGAACTGTGGTTCTAACAATAACCCAACAGTGGGACAGTTTGTAGATGCCCTGAAGACCAACATCATCAATGGCCTTGCTTTTAGAGGTCTGGGGGGAACTAATTGTGAGGATGATGGTGCTACTCTTCTGGATAACCTACAATTCCTCAGGGAACCTGATGCTACTTCACAAAATCTTTCCACAAGTCATGACAAGGAAACCCCTGCTGGTGTGCCTGAGAGTTTCCATGTTGCTCAGCAAGTACAGATGGATGTGAGTCCATGCTGTTGAAATGGAAA